AATCTCACCTTGCCAACTTTTCAGCTGATCTTGTTTCCTCAAACTGGAAGCCTCTGAGTCCTCACCCGAATGGATCTCAGCTGAACTGCTGCTCAAAAGCTAAATGCTTAAAAAGACCTCTAGTTCCTGGTCATCGTGCCTTATATACCTTTTTGCTTCCTGGAATTAAAGGCTTGTGTCTTTCCCAAGCCAGACATGAGATCTCAAGTCCTGAGATTAAAGGTGAGTGCCACATGCCTGGTTCTATGTCTGTCTAGTGGCTGTTCTGTTCTCTGACCCCAGATAAGTTTATTGGGATGCACAATATATCAACCACATTTCTCAGTACCAATTCCTGTACAGATTTCTATTCCTTTTCTGTGACAAAGGAACTAGATAAAAACAATGTAAGAAAGAGCTTGTTTAGACTCACAGTTCTGGAGGGATAGGGACCACTGTGGTGGAGAGGACCTGCTCAAAGGAGCAGGAAATGGGTCAGGCTAAAAAGCCCCAAAGCCTTTCCCCAAGGATCCACTTTTTCCAGCAAGTTCCACTTCTTGAAGGGTCCCCACTCTTTCCAAACAGAACCATCAGCTGGGGACCACATGATCAAAGACATAAATTTTTATGGGGGGCATTTCATATTTAAACAGTGTATCTGTCTCTTTTTTTCCATATCTCATTTTGACTGGTTAAAAATAAATTCTAGGTGAAAAGTTTCTTTTAGTACACTAGAAGTATCTCTCTGTGGCCTTCTGACTTGCCTAGTATCTGATACGAATTCTTCTGTCACTCTTAATGGTTCCTCTGTGCATATGTGTATAGTATCTTTCTGGTTTTAAGGTTTTGTTATTGGTGGTTTTCAGTAATTTGTTTCATCCAAATTTCTTCATATTTTATCTCCTATATTAATTGAATTTCTTGAAATCATGGGTTTCTGGTTTTCATCTAATCTGGAATTTTTTGATCAGTGTATCCTCAACTGCTTTTATCCTTGCTCCTCTTTCTGTTAATTAAAACTATATGAGACAATTTAATGGTGGGTAATAAACTACTGGCGATCAGTTATTTCCTTCAGCGTATTTCTCTGAGTTTTTCACTTTAGGTATTTCTTACTGCGCCTTAAAATTTACTGATCACTTAGTCTTTAATGGCCAATTGACTGGTCACCTTACTGGATTACTTGGGGTTCTCTGGAGAAATGGAACTGATAATAAATAATATATTTATTACTAAGGGGTTTTTATTAGATTGGCTTACACAATACCCATGTACTAGCCCAACCACTGCTATCTGCGTAATGGAGAGGTTGAGAACCCAGTGGCTGATGAGCCATGAGGCTAGTGCAGGTGATTCAAAGAACTCCTGGAGATTCCCTGGTCTTCAGTCCACTTTGTAGGCAGGAAACACCAGGTTCTACTGGGAGGGAAAAAAAATGGAAGCAGCAACAAAAATGGATAGCCCCATTCATCAAGAAGACGACATGCTTGCAGGTAAGCAATGCTTTTCTCTTGGACCTCTTTATATTTGGGTTGCTGCCGGAAAGTTTTACCTATTCTGTGAGAGGGTCTTGCCTCAGCTCCCTTAATCTCTCCTGTAAATGCCTTCACATACAGAGGCATGTCTCCTAGTTGATTTCCAATCTAATCAAGTTGGCCATCAAAATGAGCTATCACCCCAGCTTAGTGCATTTCAGTCACTGAGTTTCTATTTATTTGAGAACTATAGTAGTTAATCTTCTCTTTGCTGGGACCAAGTCCTTGACAAATGCAGCTACAGGAGGAAAGGGTTGATTTGGGTTCATGATTTAAGAAGAGATAGATTTCATCATGGCAGGGTACCAAGTCACGGTAGCACCCCGAGGCAGCTGGTCACATTGTATTGGAAGTCAGGAAGCAGAAACAGAATGCTAGCATTCAGCTGGCTTCCTCCCTTTTATTCAGTCGGGCACTGCAGCCCATAGGGTGGGGCTACCCATGCAGGGTGGGTCTCCTCAGTTAACACTCTCTGGAAATACCTTCACAGACCTGCCCACACATCTGTTTCCAAGGTAGCTCTAAATCCAGTCAGGCTGGCAAAGATTAGCCATCGCAGGTAAATTTTTTATGGCGTCCATTTCTGTTGTGACAGTGTCCAAGTTTCACAGTGTTCTCAAACATACAACGCCTATTTGTCACAGTTCAGCTAGCATCCTCGTATCTAGTACCATCGTTTCCGCCTGTTTGCATTTATTAATTCTTTTTCATTTTCAGGAGGACATTATGGTTTTACGTTTGTTGTTGACTTTCTTATATTCCACTGAATAATTTGATTGGATTATTGGGTACCAATTTGAGTAATTTGAAGCCAAGTGGACCATTCTGAGACCTGCTTTTGGACTTCGTTAGCATAAATCCGGTCAGTCTTTAGGGCCAACTTTGCCCTACTTCTTAGGATTCTGTTCAGGTCCACTCAGGCTGGTATGAACACAAGCCATTTCTGGTCATGTGTGAAGTCCAGGGATTTGTCTGCATACTGATTTCCAGTGGCTTCTGAACCGAGTCTCAGGTAGTTTCTTCTCACGCCTGGGTAGACTAATAACCTGGGAAAGACTCCGAGTGCCCTGCAAATCCTCACAGCCTCCATCAGAGCTATTCTCTTCTCACAGGCTTGGCCTCACAAATCCCAGCTCCGTCTGCCAGTCTCAAAATCCTCCTCTCAGTGGGACAGCCTGTCTTCTTGGCTCTCCCTTCCGCACAGGAAGTCTGGAAACTGTCTCCAGGCCCACGGCATTAGTGTATTCGTGTATTTAAAGCCTGATGTCTTCCCTCCCTTCCTCCCGTGCACACTCCCTCCCTTCCTCTCTCCATTCCAAACCCCCACTTTACCATTTTCTACTTTGTCTTTATTTTCTTTTGGGAGTCTATACCCAGATTGCTTACTGTTGAATTGTTGTAAACTTTTATTTTCTCTCCTATATTTTACCTATTTTTCAGTTTTTAACAGAAAGTTGAATGTGGTGACCTTTACTCTGTCTGGAACATCAGAAGTCTCCATCAGTTCTGATGCACTTTCTCTAACTAAGAGCAAGACCGGATGCATCTCTTCATGGTGTAAGGGGGAACCTCTGTGTTGCTGCCCCTCTGTGAAAGTGTTCACGTCCCCCACGAATTTATTAGTGTTGTTGCTTCTTTCCTCATTTTCAATAACCTCATTTATTTCTAGAATTCTCCTCTACTGATTCTTCATAGTCAAAACTTATTTTTTTCTTATTCATTGATATTTCAATAGCTCTTCCTAAAATAACCATTCTTCTGATTTCTTTAAAAATTTTTTAAAAGAATGTATTCAACTTTATTTTATGTGCATTAGTGTGAGGGTGTCAGATCCCCTGGAACTGGAGTTACAGACAGTTGTGATTGCCATGTGGGTGCTGGGAAATGAATCTGGGTCCTCGGGAAGGGCAGCTAGTGCTTTTAACTGCTGAGCTGTTGTCTCTCCAGCCACACTTCTGGTGTCCTAATGACTCTGTCTCCTATTTTTATATTTGTGAGTTTCTCTGCTTCCTGTATAAGCATTAAATAAACGTTTCCAATATCTAAACCCTACATACAGGACTCTACAGTGAAAAATGAACAAACCAAGCAGAGTACACTTTTTTTGTTCTTAAAATCCTTCTTATAATATGTATATAGACAAAATTGTACATATGGGACCTTATGGACTTGGTGGAGAGACCAAACCAGAATTATAACATGAATCAAGATTATTTCTGAAGTTCTTCCCAGGAAATAACAAATCTCAGCAAAATGTTGAGCAAAACTATAAACATCTAAACATGTTGGAAGAAAGCAAGCAGGGTAAGTTTTCCAAGGTCAGTTGAAAAAGGAGTAGAGTGGGAAAGAAATTAGCCACAGAGGTGGTCACTGTGGCTCCCCTTCCAGAACAGCCCCACTTAGATCCTGTCCATTAGGAGAAAGTGAGGGTCCTGAGAAATGAGGTCCAAATTCACAGAAGCCTGGGGGAGCTGGCCACAGAGACCTGAGGCAAGCAAGGTGCTGTCTCATGATTAGACATGGATTAGATTCCCTAATTTAGCTATTTATTAATATTTCCATGGATACTGATGCGGTCTTAAGCTCGTTGCTGTCATGTTTAATTGAGGGAGTCCAAGGAATTAACTGAAAGGGCATGATGAGGATTCATTAGCATGTTTAACTGTTCTTCAACATTTGTATAAAATCCTACCCCTAGCTAAGGTGCGCGTGCTCTGGTTCCCACCCACAGACAGCTTAACTAGCCTCCACTTTCTCTGACTGCCAGGCCACAGTAGAGCTGATGCCCTCTCCTAAGCAGACCCTGGAAGACCTAGCGGGTGTGGTCCTATCAAATCACTTGACGACCCTTCCCTGCAGTTCCAGCAGAGAGCAGAAGTCTCCTGATGACATTCTCTAACCATTCTGGCTCACCTTGTGAGTCTGACATTGGTACCAAGTGAGGGCCTCCTCCTGTCTCACCTGTGTTTTCCTGGTCTTAACTCTATAGGAACTCCACTATTGGGCCACCTACTTCCCCCCATTAATAGCTCATTACTCACCTGTGAACTGAACAGAAGCCTTCAGGTTTTGAGTCGTTCAAAACAGGGCTTAGTCAAATACATAAATACACCTTTAGTCAAAAGGGTAAAAAATAACAAACATCAATGGTAGATTAGAAATATTCAGAAGAATGTGCAAATTACCACAAATAACTAATGAATGGAGAGAAAGCCCATAAAACTTAGGAAAATTAAGAAGAAAGGCAATCTAAGTATGGTGTTCCATGCCTATGGCCTTAGCCTTTTATGAGTCTGAGGCAGGAAGATTGAGTCCAGGAGTTTGAGACCAGCCTGGACAACATAGCAAAATGCTATCTCAAAAACAATTTTTCTGTTTTGTTTTTAAAAAAGAAGAAATGAACACAACAAATTTAATTGTAAAATTTAATTTAACTAGATAGAATAAAACCACGCATTTTAATTATTTTGCAGAGTATGGCCATTTTCCTTCTTAAAACGTGTATTCTTACATTGGTATTGAAAAAAGTCTGAACTCTATGCTTGCATCAGTCCCTTTTTTTCATCACTGTCGGAATGACCCTAAGGGTAGAAGGGTTTATCTGGGCTCAGCTCAGTGGACACAGTCCACCATGGTCAGGCAGGTGTGGTGGAGTTGACGGCAGCAGGAGCGTGAAGCCAGAGCTCCCACCACACAGTCACAGACAGAAAGCAGAGTTCCAATTGGAACAGCCTCCAAGGCCTGCCCCTGGTGGCCCAGTTCTGTCAGCCGGGCCCCGCCTCCGGATGGTTCCATCACTTGTCTGGTCAGTTCACCAGCTCAGGGCCAAGTGTCCTAACACATTTCGAGACGGAGCATTTCACATTCAAGCCATACCAATGTTGTTTATAAAACACGTTCTTTTAATAATGGAGATTTTTAAAGAGTTATGTGATGCTTAGTTTTAACTGTCAACTTGACATAATCTATAATCATCCAGAAAGAAAACCTTAAAGAGGTATTATTTAGGTCGGGCTGGCTTATGGGGATGTCTGTTGAGGCTTGTCTTCATTGGGATAATTAATGTAGGAAGACCCACACTGGATACAGGCAGCAAGATGTCATGCTCTGGGCTCTGATCTGAGTGAAAAATCAGGAACAAGCCAAGTGCAGCATGCATTCCTTCTTTGCTCTCAGTTTCTGACTATGGATGGGAGGTGACCAGCTCCCTTAAGGGCTCGCAAACATTGGAACCTTGATCTGTGAGCCATACCCCTGCTCCTCTAAATTGCTTTTGTCGGGGTTTTTCATCACAGCAGCTAGAAAGGAAACAAGACAAGCTCAAAGCAAAACAGGACAAAATAACACTACATAATCATAAACAAAAGTAAACAGCACAAGAAATGAGTTGACAGTTCTCAAAAGATGAGGTACAAATTGCCAGTAAGTATATGAAAAAATGTTCAGCCTCACTCTCAGAGAAATGCACATAAATACGACACTGAGATTCCATCTTAACCAGCTAGGATGTGAGTCATTAAGAAAACAAAAAACAACAAATATGGACAAGGGGGACCTTTCTACTCTGCTGGTGGGAAATGTAAAGTAGTCCAGCCACTGTGGAAATCAGCCTAGAGCTTTCTCAAGAAACTAAAAATAGATCTTCTGTATGGTCCAGTGACACCATTCCTGGGTATTTACCCCAAAGACTCCAAGTCAACATATCACAGAAGTACTTGCGCATCAATATTTATTCCAACACTATTCACAATAGCTAAATTATAAACCCACTCACACAAGAGATCTGATCATATAAACAGAGAATTAAAATATGGCATATACACGATAGAATTTTTTCAGCCATAAAGAACCAAGTTATACCATTTGCAAGAGAACGGATGCAACTGGAGATAATCATATTAAGTGAATTAAGCCAATCTCATACGCTCTCGTTTGCGGTTACAAGATTTTATAGAGGCACATAAAGTCATGTCTGGATATACGACATGAAGTGGGATTGTCCAGGGATGCGGAGCACTAACAGGGAGGAAAGATGAGAAAGGAAGCACGGGGAATTTGTTCAACATCCAATACATACTTGCATAAAATGTAAAAATTAAAATTGTCTTAAAGTAGAACACAGGGTGAGGAGAAAATAGGATGATAAAGGTCACAAGTCATAAGACAAAAGTCACGGCTTCAAATACAATGACATTTGTAGATCTCGTTTACATAGCATATAAACAAGATAAATCTTTAGAAATGTAAAACCAATATAATTATAGTAGGGAAATTTTAAAGTGCTTATTTTTTGGCTTGGGTTATAGCTCAGTTGTAGAGTACTTACCTAACATGCATGAGGCCCTGGATTTAATCCTTAGCATCACAAATCAATCAAGCAAGCAGTGAAATATTTCTTTCTGAAATGGGCTGATAAGAATAAGTAGAAATAAGGAAAAGTTAAATAGTGCAATAAATAGTCACCACACTCTAAGTAGAGATGCTTCAGATAGATAACATCCTTTTTTTTCCCTTCAGGCCTAGGGAACATTTACAAAATCAATTATGTACTGGCTGAAAAAAAAAATGCCATTAGCAAAAGCAGAGATTTTTATCAGCCACTTTCTATAATTTTAATCCAATAAAATTTAATGAGTAATAAATATAGTCAAACAGTTCTATCTACATGGAAACTAAGACCCACCTTCCTAAGGGATCCTTGGAGATGAATGTGTGAGAAGAGCCATGTGCTACAAGGACTCAGCCCTCTGTGAGGAGACATGACGTCACCCTGCACTCCTGCCCATCATTTGTATTTAGCAAAGCAGTTACACTCATCCAGTACTGCTGGTATGTGCCTGGGATTGATATCTGACTGTTTATTTGCATCACTGATTCATTCTGTAGAAAGCAAACCAATAATTTAACAACGAATTAAGTTGCCCAACGGAAAGAAATGAAAGTACGAGGTCATTTTTATTTTTCAAATATATCATTTACTATTGTGTTGTGAGGAAAGGCATTCATATACACTCACACCAGAGTCAGTTATAGGAGACATTTAGGATACAGCACCACACACAGCTTGTCACACACCCAACACTAACTATTGCTTTTATTTGTGGTTTCCCGTTTGCCAAGCTTAATAGAAAGTATTTCCCTGCCACACATGCTGTGGGCTCCTTCCTGTGATGGGGGACTTTCTCTCCACAGACCCAGGTCCCACTGCTCTCAGAGGCTCTGGGAGCTGGAACTTGGGCATTGCTTCTTGATGCTGGAGAACTTTGGAAAGCAATCAGACATCTTCATGCAGTGTGTGCTCTGAACATGCCTGCAGCTGTCCGCAATGGCCTCTACATGGGTCCCTTCTTCCTGACTGACTGGGCCTTAGTGAGTAGTGGAAATGGTTAGCTCTCTATTTCAGGCTCAAATGTCTGTTCCAGTTCCCCAAACAAGATCATTAAAATTCTTCCCCAGATGAGGGAAACCGTATATAAGCAAGGAAAGCAATAATAGTAGTATGTCGTAAGTGCTATGGAAGACACAAAACAGGGTAGGTAGACCAATCAGGATCCAGCCATGAAAACAGTGACCCAATAAGCAGCCAACCAGACTCTAAGGTGGGGAATTAGCTACAGTGATGTCAGGAGTGTTTGAAGAGAAACCAGGTGGTGAGGAGGCTTCTTGGAGCTACAGCCATTGCGGCTTCAGAATAAAGACAAGAAATGGGGTTACGGAAGCCCTGAAGCTAATGCCACTCTGAAGATGCTGGAGAATGTGGAGTAGTTGAGGTCTTTCCTGATGCCACCAAAGGGGGAAAGATCTTTCGGGTTCCCTCCATTTCCCTCCCCGACCTGCCTAGGGGTAATAGCTTTATCATTGGCCAAACTTAACTGGAAGCCAGTTGGCAGAGAAAACTTGGAGGTATAATTTGTAGGGCTCTGTCTCTGCAGTACAGAAAGAAGCAGAGGAAAGTGGGGTCTGGGTCTGAAACGAAACCGCCCAACCTCAACTCAATCAGAGACTTAAACTAACCGGTGATAGGTGGGGACCATTTCAGAGAGGATGGTTAAGAAAGATCTGGAAGGAAATGTCGGTTGAGCAGACACCTGGAGTGGAGAATTAAGTCTCCTGAACAGCTGAGGAAACAGGGCAGAGGGAAGAGCAAGCACAATGCTCTAAGAAGGAAACTGGCTGGGCCTGTTTAAGGAGCAGTAGAGGCTAGGTGGGTTGAGCTGAGTGTTCAGCAGAGAAAACAGCATGTGGGAGAAATGGGAGAGGCCAGAGGCAAGGGCCTGCTAGGCAGGCGTGCTCAGAAACCTGGAGTTCGAGCTAAAGGCAATGAGAAATCACAGGCTGTTCTTTGTGATCAAGTAATGGGAAGTGAGTATCTTAGGATTCCATTCATCTTGAAGATACAGTATCTTCCCCGGTTGAGCATGCCTATGAGTCGCTGTGACCTTCTACCTCCCAACCTGCCTCTAGGGTGCCCTTCCAATCCCATGACAGAGCCAAAGTGCCAAATCATCCTCAAACATGTGCTACCTTTTGTGACATGTAGACAACTTCTAACAGTTTGTTTATGCGTCAGCCACATCTTGTCAATTCCTACTACTAATCTCCAAGCACCACTAAGCACCCTACATCAGCCTGGGGTCCAATCCTCCCTATGAAGAAATGGGTCATTTTAAGAGAAGGATCCTTATAGATTATAAGAAGCTTGGACACCAATATCTGGGATCCTCCTCAGATATTGGGAAGCTCTGTTATAATACTGGCACTTGATGCCTCCCCGGGGATCACCTAACTTGTCCAGTTCTGTAGATCCACTCCCAGAGAGCACATCCTTTATTATCCACACCCTTTAACTGCAAAGCAGAGATCCTGTTCTCTACCAAAAGCCAACGGGAATACGAACAGAGACACGTTTCATGTGCCACAGAATACTGTGTTTGTGTCTTTCATGCATGTTGATCAATGTCAAAACTCATCCTCAAGACATATTCCAAACAGAAGTGGCCCCTGAGCTCCCGGTCACCAATTCCTTCTCTTAAATAAGGTCTCTCATGTCCACTGTTCACAAGGTCTTGTCTAGATGTGAGTGGAAACCCTGAGATCACCAGTGGTTGAAGAGAATCTGACAGAGAAGTCAGAAACAAAGAAACAATAGCTAATAGATGTTCTCACAAAACTACAGAGAAAGGAAGAAGCCCACCCCAAGGTACACTGGTCAAAAAAAAAAAAGAAGATAGAGAAGGATCCCAATCAGACTGCCACACGTCACTAGAAGCTAGAAAACAATGAAGCCATTGCTTCAAAATGTTGAGGAAGAAAAGGAAGAAATAATTTCCAACCTGGAATAGGTAGCAGGCTATTCAGGAACCCGACATGGGTCAACAGCAGAAATCCCCACTTTCCACAGAGCTCTGGGACTGACTCACCGAGATGTATCAGATAACTGAGTCAACAAAAACCAGGCCATTATTAGCAGGAGTAACGAGATGTTAGACAGGGAAGAAACTACCAGATGCACTATATGACTCAGCTATGGCCAGAGACCTCATTCACAGCAGCATAAACAGTGACTTTTGACCCAGACTGAACCATGTTACAGTTCTGTCAGGAACCTGGGTGGGACTGGTGTGGAGGTATCCCACAGGGCTGATTTTCATTTTCCAGGGGAAACAGGAAATTAGAATATCTAAAAGAAGATCGGTGGTCTTTTGTGTTTTCATGTGAATTTTAGGATTTTTTTTTTTAAGTTTCGAAAATAATGTCACTGGAATTTTTATGGGAATTGCATTGCATCTGCAGATTGTTTTGGGTAATATAGCCATTTTTATAGCATTAATTCGGCCAATCTAGGGGGCATAGACACTTTCTATTATCTGGTGTCTTCTTCAATTTCTGTTTTCAGTATCTTAAAATTTTCCTTATAGAAATCTTTCAGCTCATTGGTTATTTATATTCCTGTATATTTTAATTTTTAAGGCTATTGTGAATGGGCTATTTTTTCCTAATCCCTTTCTCAATAACAAATGATTATTGGATATTGATCATGTACCCTGCAACTTTACAGCAAGTGTTTATGGGTGCTAACATTTTCCTGTCGACTCTGTGAGATCTTTAAGTATAGAATTAGCCATCTGTAAATAGTGGTAGTTTAACTCCTCCCTTTTTCAAGTTGTATTAACTTAATAATATCTTTCTTTCTCTTGCCATATTGCTCTAGCTAAGATTTCAGGCAAGAACTTTTTAATGGAACCCAAGTAACAAAAAATAGCCTCACAAACTGGCAAGTGGGATGACATGAAACTGAAAAGCTTCTCCCTAGCAAAAGAAACTATGACACAGTAAACAGCCTACAGAATGGGAGAAATCGTTGACAGCTATACTTCAGGAATATATAGGCTAATGTCTTTAGTACGTAAAGAACTAGATACCAACAAATCAAAACCCTGCCAATCAATAAATGGGCCAATGAATTGATCAGATTTTTCTCAAACTGTAAGTTTGGTGAAATGACCTTGTGTGTAAAGGTATTTGACAACAAATTGACCATCTGAGCTCAAGCCCTGGAATTCACATGCTAGAAGGAGAGTACTGAATCCTGCAAGCTGTCCCCTGAATTCCACACATGCATGGTGAATTATGCCAACACATACACACACACACACACACACACACACACACACACACACACACACACACACACACACTGTACTGGCTAGTTTTAAGTCAACTTGGCCCAAGCTATAGAGAGGAAAGAGCCTCAACGGAGAGGTTCATTTGATCCAGTGATCAATGCAGGAAGGCCTGGCCCATTGGGGGTGGTACCACTCCTGGACTGGTGGTCCTGGGGTTTGCAAAAACGCAGGCTGAGCCAGGTGGTCATGGTGCATGCCTTTAATCCCAGCACTTAGGAGATAGAGCAGGGAGATATCTTTGATGCTACCCTGGTCTACAGAGCTAGTTCCAGGACAGTCAGGGCTACACAAAGAAACCCTGTCCTGAAGGAAAACAAAACAAAACAAAACAAAAAAACCCAACAACAAAAAACAAAACAAAACAGACTGAGCAAGCCATGAGGAGCAAGCCAGTAAGCAGCACTCATCCATGGTTTTATCATCAGCTCCTGCCTCTAGGTTTCTTCTTCTGCTTGAGTTCCTGTCCTGACTTCCTTTTGTGATGAACAGCAATGTGAATGTGTAAGCCAAATAAACCCTTTCCTCCCCAAACTTGCTCCTTGGTCATGGTGTTTCATTGCAGCACTAGAAACACTAACTAAGACACACACACACACACACACACACACACACACACACACACACATGCAAAAAAAAAATACCATATGAAAACAAATGGCAATGAATGCTGGCTGAGATATGGGGATATTATAACTCCTACTCTCTGTTGGTAGGTGGGAGTATAAACTGGTACAACCACTTTGAAAATCAATGTAAAAGTTTCATAGTAAAACTAAAATTAGGAACTGCTGTATGACCCAGTTATACCACTCCTGGGTGTGGACTCAGAACTCTATCTTATTATAGAGATACTTGTACACACACATTTATTGTTGCCCTATTCAAACTAGCAAGGAAAGGGAACTAGCCATGATGCCCATCAACATGAGTAAGCAATGAAATGATGGTGTATATACATACACAATGGAATTGTAGACTACTGTAAGGAAAATTGAAACTATGGAATTTTCAGGAAAATGGATGAAAATAGAAAATATTCTATTGAATGAGGTAACTCCAGTTCAGAAAAACCAACACATGTGTCCTCTCATATGAGAAGCCTGTCTTCCAATCTTTATGTGTGTGGGAGCGAGTGCCTATAGAGGCCTGGAGACTAGAAAGCGTCGCATGAAGAGGGGAAATGGAGGCTTTAAG